TTATTCGTGTGTCAACCCCTCTTTTAGATCCTGAACCCACCACGAAGGTCGTGGCAATTGATTTTATTTTCTTTCTTCTGATTATTTTTGGTTTAATGTAATCTCTTTCATTTCTTTAAGAGGAAGCTGAGGTCATTTATTTGAAATATTTCTTCTCTCTTAACTTTAGATAATTTTAAAATAGAGTGATTATTCTAGTTTATCTGGGGTTGGGGTGCTCATTTTAAACATATGCACTTTTAAAAGCCAGAAAAGGAGGCAGAAGAATAGATCATAGATAGGAACATTACATGAACTTGACACACCATTGCTAGATTTGAAGATGAAGGAAGAGGCTATGAACTAAGAAATGAGAGCAGCTTCTAGAAATTGAAAAAGGCAAAACAAACAAACAAAAAACAATTAAAAAATAGATTCTTCTCAAGAACCTTCAGAAGAAAAGCAGTCCATCCAATACTTTGATTTATAAGATAATGGATGTGTGTGTTTAATAAGCACAAATTACTGTCTGTAGTAATTTGTTACAACAGCAATCAAAGCGAGTCATCATGTACACTAATCTTTTCCTCTGTCATGTTTAATCTGCCATCAATCCTATCCACTGTGTTTTTCCTCCCAGACATTGTAATTTCTAGCTCAGAAATTCAATCAGAAACAGCAAAGTACCATAGGTTTCACTCATATGTGATATATAAAACCGAAATTCATAGACACAGACAACAATGGTATGGTGGTTACCAGAGGGAAGAGGGTTAAGGGATAAGGGCAGCCTAATACACTCAGTGCCAGATTATTATGACCACCCCATCAGTACTTCATTGACACTTCCAAAAATACTGAATATTGAAAACTTCCTAAGCAAATACTCTCAAGGTTTTATTATTATTATTATTATTTGCATAACTAATTCACTTCATTGTACTGATGGGGTAGTCATAATAATCTGGCCACTCAGTGTATATGGTGATGGAAGATGGTTTGACTTTGGGTGGTAGACATAAAATCCAATATACAGATCTTGTATCATAGAAATGTACACTTGAAGACTATGTAATCCTATTAACCAATGTTGCCCCAATAAATTTAATAGAAAAAAGAAACTTATGGAATCTACAAAAATGTTTAATTTGGGTTCCTTTTATGTCTTCATGACTCCATTGAAGTTATTCTTTCCACTATTTGATTTAAAAATTTTTTTTATTGATTTCATAGTGGAAGGGAGAGGGAGAGAGAGATAGAAACATCAATGATAAGAGAGAATCATTGATTGGCTGCCTCCTGCATGGCCCAAACTGGTGATTGAGCCCACAACCTAGGCATGTGCCCTTGACTGGAATCAAATCCAGGACCTTTCAGTCCACAGGCCGATGCTCTATCCACTGAGCCAAACCAGCTATCTTCTTGAACAATGGAATAAAGTAGTAAACACTATGAAATTAAATTGTCTCCTAATTGTTATGTCTGTTGTTTCTGATTCTGTTTCAACTGACTGATTTTAATGGTCCCGCAGCTCCTGGCTCTGACTGGGTTTTGCTTCCTTATCCTGTGGCCTGGAAGCTTTCTCCAAGCAGTAAGTAGGAACAATCTTAGGGCTCACCTTGTTCTCTTCCCAATTTCCAGTTTCTTAGAAATCAGTCCTTTCTAGTATCTTGTACTTGAAGCTTCCCACCCCCGACCCGTGTATTTTGTTTTAATATTTAATTGTTTTGTCTGTTCTTTTACTCAATCTTGATTGGGAGCAATAGTCTCAATTGCTCTTCTGATGTACATCCTCTTAGTCTTTCTTCTACATATTTACACTTACACATATACATTTTTCTTTTTTAGATCACATTACACATAAAATATAATGAGCACATTTTGTATTCTTTTAAAGGTTCTGATATTACTCTACCTTTTGAAGATGAATATCTATTCCTACTCTTTTTGTACATGTCTAATTATGCTCATAGGTAAATTGTGACCAAGTTAATATTTTTAATACAATTGCTAAATATGGTCAAATTAGCCCCTTCAAAAATATGTCTCTTTTACACCAATTGTGATTATTTGAATTAAAATATATGTCTATTTCAGAGACAAAAATTAACTTTAGTTTTAAAAAATATTATTGAGATGAAATTTAACAGAAATATGTTCATGTATAAATTGTCTATTTGTTTTCTCACTTGCTTTTCTAATTGTATACTTGTTTTCTTGGTGGTGTATCAGATTTCTTTTTATTTTAAACATAATACCCTGGATAATATTCACTAAAATGATGTACCAAATTTAATTTTAATTCTTACATTTTAAACAAGTTTATATGTTGTTTAAATTATTAACATTATCAACTTTCTCTTTATATTAAGACTTTTGCTCAGAATGTCCTTTAATGATATTTCCCATCAGTAAGTAGATATGCACTTATCTTTTATTTGCATTTAATTGTAATTTTACCCTTACTGATATAATTCATTGAAATTTGTTTCTTGATATATAATGTAGGATGAAGATAACTTTACATTTTTCTGTGTGGTTAATCACACTATTCCTCTAGATTTTAATATGTTCAATTATATTTATTGTGTCTAATATGGTTAAATATACATACCTATTTATGATTTTTTAAATTGTATATGATATATATCTATACTAATAAAAGACAAACATGCAAATTGACGGTACCTTTGCTATGCCGTAAGCCATGCCCACCAGCTGATCAGAGCAACTATATGCAAATTAACCCAACCAAGATGGCGGCCTGCAGCCACGGAGCTGGAGCAAGCAGGAGGCTTGGTTGCCCCAATGATGGATGAACCCAAGCTTCCTGCCTGCCGCAGCGGGCTCTGAGCTCCACTCAAAGCAACAAAGTTTCAATTATAGAAGGTAAATAAACCCCAGATACCTGCTTTCAGCTGGCTGTGGCCATGGAGCTGGAGTGAGCAGGAGGCTTGGTTGCCCCTGATGATGGAGGAAGACAAGCTTCCTTCCCGCCTGCCCTAGTCAGCTCTGAGCTCCTCTCAAAACTACAAAGTTTCAATTATAGAAGGTGAATAAATCCCAGAATAAAAATAAAAGAAAAAAAGGAGAGTCTGGGAGCTTCTGTTGCTGGGGGGCTTGGCCAGCCTGAAAACGGCCCTCAGCCCCTCACCCCCTCACCCAGGCTGGCCAGGCACCCCAGTGGGGACCCCCACCCTGAAGGGGGTGTGACCAGCTGCAAAAAGCCATCAGCCCCTCACCCAGGCTGGCCAGGCACCCCAGTGGGGACCCCCACACTGAAGGGGGTGTGACCAACTGCAAAAAGCCATCAGCCCCTCACCCAGGCTGGCCAGGCACCCCAGCGGGACCCCCACCCTGATCCAGGACACCCTTCAGGGCAAACCAACCAGCCCCCACCCATGCACCAGGCCTCTATCCTATATAATAAAAGGGTAATATGCAAACGGACCCTCTGCTCAGTCACAAGCCAGGCTAATGGCTGCCAGCACAGCGGTGGTGGTGGGAGCCTCTCCTGTCTCCTCAGCAGCGCTAATGATGTCCGCCTGCAGCTTAGGCCTGCTCTCCACTGGCAAGTGGACATCCCCTAAAGGGCTCCGGGGCTGCCAGAGGGATGTCTGATTGCCAGCTTAGGCCCAATCCCCAGGGGAGTGGGCCTAAGCCAGCAGGTGGTCATCCCCTGAGGGGTCCCATACTGCGAGAGGGCACAGGACGAGCTGAGGGACCATCCCCTCCCCCAGTCCAGTGCACAAATTTTTGTGCACCGAGCCTCTAGTCTACACTAATAAAAGAGAAACATGGTAATTAGCGTACGACTGCTACCCTTCCCATTGGCTAATCAGCATATCCTTATGCAAATTAACTGTCAGCCAAGATGGCGTCCGGCAGCCATGCACTGAAGCGAACACGGAGGCTTGCTTGCTC